TTAGTTCTCGGCGGACACAACATCTTTGTTGGTATGTGGTGCTGGGGATCGAACCCGGGCTGCATGCATGCCAGGCGAGCGCGCTACAGCCTGAGCCACATTCCCAGCCCTCGAGTGTTTTTAATCCTCTTAGGTATGTCTTTTTATCTTATCCAAATATTCTACAGGGAGATGATTGCTTTCATATTCTAAGAAGGCAAAATAAGCATGACTTAAACATGATGATTGAATGGTATGTGCATCCGGAGATGGCTCTGTGACCTTAAGGGTCTTTTTGGAAAGAGAGGGAACATAACAAACTATTCATGGTGACTGTCCGCTGCCATGGGGGAGAGAGAAGGCAACTTGGGGGGTCAGAGAATTTTTTGTAGTTTTGAATACTGTGTCACCTATAATGATCATCAATTAAAAAAGGAAAAAAAGAAAGGAGGAAAAGAAAGAAAAAGGAAGAAGGAGATCTGTGCTGTACTCTGAGGTGAAAGAATGTATACACATAAAGTGTGTGTGTGTGTGTGTGTGTGTTGGTACTGGAGATGGGACTCAGGGCCTCACACTTGCTAGGCAAGTGCCCTACCAGTGAGCAACTGAGCAACTGGTATTTTTGTATCAGTTTTTATTTTGCTAGATAATATATCACATGGTCCCAGATTTAGATGTAGAAAATGGAATATAGTAAGTTTTTCTCTCATCCCTGTTTGCCAGATATGTAGGTCCTCTTCCTGGGGGACATAAATTTAACTGTCCTGCATGTGCAAGGAGGGAAGGTGAGGGCTTTCCCACCATGATCTTCTGTGGCCTTAGCTAGCACCTGTACTGGGTGACTCAGGTAAAAGGGCCATACAGAGGGTCCTTGCACTAGGTGTGAGTGGACACAGCACTCTGGCTGGATGGCTCCTTTCTGCTCTCCTCAGGTCCAGGTCAAGGAAGAGACCCGCTTGGTGTCCATCATTGACCAGATTGACCAGGCTGTGGCCATCATCCCCCGAGGTGCCCTCTTCAAGACCCCTTTTGGACCCTCTAATGTTAACCGAACTTTTGAAGGTGAGTTCTTTGGAGCCCCTCTCAGGACACGAGGGCCTCTTTTCCCAAAAGTCAGATATATGTCTGGGACACCAGAGTGGACCTGCCCTCCTTGGAGAAGTAAGCTGGGCCCCATCACTTAGGAGCATGTGCCCCATGAGCTGGTGTTGGTGGTTGGGATGGGCTACCCTGTCTGTGGACCTGAGACTCTTGTGCCCCGGGGGTGGGAGTAACCATGGTTGCTGAACATGGTCTGAGCTACCTGCTTTTCCCCACCTGCCTGTCCTTGGACTTTTCCTCATTGCAGGATCTGAACCAGACTTTTCCCTTTTCTCCCTTCACTTCTCTGTCAGTGGTTGACTTAGTCTTTAACAAAGCCCTCCATATGGTCCCAATGCAAAAAGGGGCTCTAGAGCTTTGGGTGACCATCCTCCCTGGCTGCCTCCTCTTCCTAGGACTGTCCTTGTCTGAAGCCAAGAAGCTCAGCTCTTACTTCCACTTCAGGGAGGCTATCGACTTGAAGAATAAGACCTTGCTTGAGAAGGCTGACCTGGACCCCTCCCTGGACTTCATGGACTCTTTGGAGCATGACATCCCCAAAGGTAGTAGTCTATTATCTTGAGGATCTGTCCTCAGGCTAAAGCAGTGGGCTGTGCCATATGCTCCTCTTCTCTGAGACTGGAAGCTAGAACCTGGGTAGGAATTGGTGGCTTACTATGGGCCCTTGAGACTGGGGCTTCCCCAGGGTCTAGTTGTAGTAAACACTTGGTTAATATTTTCCAGTGTCCAAAACTGGGATTTTTTTTCCTGAGATACTTCCACAAATGTGAAATAGCTCAGAGTCTCTTGATTTTCAGAGAAACCTTTTTTTTTTTAAATGAAAAATAACCACTCTATTTTAATTTTCTTTAAATTAATAGGTTAAATTGTATGAATTTATCATGTACAATGTGATATTTTAAAATATATATATACAGGGCTGGGGATACAGCTCAGTGGCAGAGCACATGCTTAGCATGTGCAAGGCCCTGGGTTTGATCCCCAGCAACACACCCACAGTCAAAAGAAAATTCTATATACACTGTGGAATAATCCAATCCAGTTAATTAAAAATGCATTACCTCACCTAGTTCTCATTTTTACAATGAGAACATTTATCCACTCTTCATTTTTCAAGAATACATTATAGTCATCATGAACTATTAATCATGTAGTCCTTGTAAAGATTACCAATTCAAAAAAGAAAGAAAGAAGCCACTACTACTTGGGACACTGAGGCAGGATGATGCATGCATGCATAAATAAATAAATAAAATACATAAAAATAAAGGAAGAGGACAAGGGACGCATGTGCTGCTCAATAGATCTCTTACACTTATTTCTCCCAAGTATAATTCTATATCCTTTGATAACATCACTGTGGGCCCCTTTCCCCCAACCACCCCAATGACTAGTAACCACTGTTGATCTAATCTGTTCTGTGAGGTCAACCTTTTAAGTTTCGTGTATGAGTGAGATTATGTGATACTTGTATATTTCTGTGCCTGGCTTTTTCACTTAACAAAATGATCGGTAGTCCCATCCATGTTGTTGATAAAATTTCATTCTTTTTTTAATGGCTGAATAGTATTCCCAGGTGTTTATATTTCCAATTTCTTTATCCATTTATCTGTTAATGGACACTTAGATGGTTTCTATTTCTTAGCTGTTGTGAATGGTGCTGCAATGAATGTGGGAGTTTAATGTCTCTTTGACAGACTATTTCCTTTGGAAATATACTCAGGAGTGGGATTGTTGGATTCATAGCAATCTTGAATGGAGGCAAGTTAGGTATCTTCCTGAAAACATCTCTGAAAACATCCTGAAAATACTAGTAACATCAATTTTCAGTCTGGGAGTTCTGGACAATGCTTGGGACATAACTGTGGCTCAATGAGTGGGTGTTGGTTGATAAGTGAACCACCCATTAAAGACATGAGTTGTATGTGTGTGTGTGTGTGTGTGTGTGTGTGTGTGTGTGTGTGTGTTTTACTGGGAATTGAACCACTGAAATATGTCCCCAGCCCTTTTAAGACAGGGTATAGTTAAGTTGCCTGGGGCTGGTTTCAAACTTGTGATCCTCCTGCCTTAGCCTCCCATTTAGGAGGGATTACAGCCATGAACCACCATGCCTAGCTTGTACACTGACTTTCTGCTATGTATTTGGTTCACTTAAAAAAAAATTTTTTTTGTACCAGGGATTTAATCCAGAGGTGCTTTACACTGAGCCACATCCCCAGCACCCGCCCTTTTTTTTTAATCTCACTTGTCTCCTATCTTAGCTGGCAACCTAATACTGGGTTCACAAAATCTATTACAATAACTCAAGAAAATGACAAAGAAAGTACGCAACCACACAGAAATACCTTTTCAATAATCTGGAGATGGCTCTGTGAACTTATTCAGTCCTTGGAAAGAGAGAGAGCCACCGGAATTCTTTATTCTTATATAGGGAACACACAGGAGAGGTTCCATGAAACATTCTATCCCCAAAAGGGCAAAGGGGTAGGATTACAAAGAAACAGGTGAGTGTAGCTCAACCCCTGCTGGTGACACCTATACCTGGAGCCACGCCTCATTATCCGAGCCGGGTAATGCCTAAGTTACTGCTACCTGGCATTGCCTTGCCAGACTGAAGGCAATAATTGGTCAGAACCTGGTGCTTCAGGACTTAAGCGCATTTGCATCCAGGGCAGCTCCCGACAAATTGCTCACTAAATTGCTTAGGGCCTCACTAAATTTCCAAGGCTGGATCTGAACTTGGGAGCCTCCTGCCTCAGCCTCCCGAGCCCTGGGATTACAGATGTGTGCCACCATGCCCAGCTCCCTGTATGTGGTACTTTTGAATCATAAAATATAGAGCTTCAGAGGCCAGTGGTTTCTGGCAGGGCCATAGACACCCAATTTCCTTCCTTTAAGCATTACCAGCAGAGAAAAATGCGTCTATTGATGCTGTCACCTGAGATGGGTGTGAGGTTGTAGGCCTTTGGGGATCAGACGCATAGTGACTTAGTACTGTGCTTTTTTTCTTTCTGTGGTTGGCATTTCTGAGAACTAGAGGGATCTGATGATGATGATGGTGGTGATCATGACAGTCACAATAACTAATTCATAAAAGCAATGACAACTGCTTGTTGGGACCAGGTGCGATGCTCAGCCATTCCCATGCCTTATCTAATCTTAATCTTTGCAGCCGGCCTATGAGCTGTTATCCCCATTTTACAGAGGAAGAAATAGCAGTTCTGAGAGTTAACCCCAAGGACACACTATTTGAGCAGTAGACTCCAAGGCTCTGGCATTAACTGTGGTGTCAAATAGTGACAGGTGACAGTGGGTATGAAGGGACAATAGTTACTTCTAGCACTAGGAAAAACACTTCTGAGGAGCAACAAGCAGCCAACAAGGCTGAACCTAAGGGAGGAGTGGGGTGGCAAGAGCTCTGGGGGCAGAACTGGGGCTGCAATCTTGAATTGCCACTGACTAGCTGTGTGCCTTAGGGCAAGTTCCTCCAGTTCCTTGTGCCTTGGTTTCCTCATTTCTAAATGCAGAAATAGATATTTTCTATCTCATTGGGCTGTTATGAGGATTAAATGAGGTAACTCCTATACAAAATTCTTATAATAGGACCTAGCACACAGGAAACACTCAAATAAAAATGAGTATTAATGATAATGATTTTCAGTGGCAAAAAATCAGTAGAGATGAATTGGGGCAGGCCTAGCAAGACCCAGAAGGCCAAGACAGAAGCTGCTGATGGTTTGGAAGCAGGTCTGTGATGATAATGCAGCACAGGTGGAGAGAGAAGGGACAAGGCAAGCCAGGCCTCAAGAGGCTGTCTCAGGGCCACTGTAGCACCCAGGGGCCAGGGAGTGGTCCTGAGTGGGTAGCTGCCACCAAGGAGTGGCCATTCTGGCTGCTGCCACATGGGGGTGTCCAAATTAAGCACCCTTGAGGTCTTCCAGTCCCACAGTGAAGAGTAGGAGGGGCTCCCAGTCCAGTGGGGGAGATGAGGAAGGGCTATAGGAGTTGGAGGATCAGACACAGTTCTTAGACTTATCTCCTCCAACTCTGCCCCCAGCTTTGCTCAAAGCTGGAGAGTGCTGCACACCCCCTGTTGACAAAGGGACCAGAGATTCTGGTGGTGGGATTCAGCACCAGGGGCAGAGGATGGACCCATAGAAATCTTTCTAATTTCCTTAGTCTGGGGTGGCAACCGCACCCCTGGCTCAGGGAAGCCATCTGTAGCCTCTTTCCTTGCAGCTAGATGTGTGGGGTGGGAGGATGGGGCTTTCCCTTTGCCCAGTGGGAGGGGCAAGGAGGTCACCAGGGCTTCTACATCTAAGATCAAAGCCATTCAGACTGGGCGGTGGGGGCAGCAAAGTCTTCCAAGGAAACACCATCAGCTCAGTCTGCACTGTCTTTCCTTGCAGCAGCGGAAGTAAGATGTAGAGTTTTGGGAGTTGTGCTAAAGGCTGCTGAGGCCACCCTGGTGTGTCCAATTGGCGAGTGAGTCTATCAGGCCTCTGGGAGGCATAGGGCCTAGGCATATTTCAGAGACTCTCAGTATTCTGCCCTGATTGTGGGTCCCAGTGCTACAGGATTCCCTGAGGATTCCACTTCCCAGGCCATCCAGCATGTTCTTTTGTCCTCAGTGTTGGCCTCAGGAGCTGAGAGGTCCTGGCTTCTGTGCAGGTGTGTGTGTGGGGGGTACTCTTGGCTCTACCTTTGGAAACCTCCCACAGCCTTTGGCCTCTAGGTTACTAACCCTTCCTCCCAGAGTTACGACCAGAAAACCTACAGGAAGTCAGACCCCAGCTTTTTCTCATGAGGGTTTAGTGGGGGGCATGTGTGTATGTGGGGGTGTGGATAGTCAGGAGAGAGCAGATAGCTCCACTGGGGAGGACTCCATTCCTTAGCAGTCAGCAAAAGAGAATGAGCTGCTGGGGGACTCCTCTGCCAGACAGACAGCATCTGAGAGGGCTGGGCTGCTAGGTGGGGCCAAAACCCTAAGAAAGTATTCCCTGGACACCAGACTTGCCTAGAGGGTAGGATTTGGCAGCTATTCTATGCCCAGGCAAGATAACTGTTTTTTTTTTAAACTATTGTAGATGAGCAGCTTACCTTTGTTTATTTTTATGTGGCATTGAGGATTAAACCCAGTGCCTCACACACGCTGGGCAAAGTGCTGTACCACTGAGCTACAGCCCCAGCCCAGATCATTGTGTATGGTTTTTGGATCTGAGGCAATGTTCAGGGGAACGTGTCACCTCTGAGCAGGTGTGGTTTAGGTTGGTTAGGTCCCTGGATTCCAACTCTCTGAGCCAATGGAGATAGGCCAGGAGTTCAACAGCTTGTCCCTGGGCCAACCTTGGCTAAAAAAGGGATGTTACCTGGAGCCAATGTGCTATTATGAACTGTCATGCCATTCCCTGGGATCTGGGTGGCTTTAGGGGCTACTGCCTACTTCTGGGGTGGCAGTGCCCATCCTCCTGGTAGATTCAGGGCAGTGCCTGAGTTCTCTGACTCTAGGCTGTAGCTGAGTAACAGGTGGAACAGTAGGTGACATAGGTGGAGTACTGGGTCTAGACAGTGTTCTGCTACTCAATGCTCCTGAACCTTTCCAACAGCCACAGAGCAGCTGCTTCATGACAGGCCCTTTTGGTTTCCTCAGGATGAGATAGCTCCCTTACATAACAGAGATTTGGGGAGATCAAATCAAAGTCTGGGAAGGGAAAACCTAGGCTAGAAGGTGTCTTACAAATGGGATCACTGGTGTCTTGGGGACAGAGAGGAGAGTGGAGCAGAGCAGGAGGGCTGGAGGGTGGAGCTCCTGTCCTTGCTCCACTCTGGACTGGAGCAGATGGCAGGAAGGGCCAGGTGCAGGCCGGGGCTCCTTCACCAGCCATCTCTCAGAAGCATATGCTCAGCTTGAGCAGCAGAGGGCAGCAAGGGTCCTGCTGCCTGGAGAGCGGCTTTGAAAGCTACCGTGTTGGTTGGGGAGTGTACAAGTGAGACAGTGGTATTGGAGAGGGATGGGGAACATGGTGCCAGGATCAGTCTTCTGGGGGGGTGTGTAGCGGCTCTTCATATCCAAGTCCCTTGGAAGTCATACTGGACCATACTTGACCTTCTGGACTAGGGTCCCTGGCTCTGCTGCCTATCAATTAGACAGGAGGTTGACATCAGGGGAGATATTCTCTTCCTCTTCTGTCCCCAGGCCTCTAGGGGGTTTGTCTATCTTGTGGCACTAGTGGGGGCAGTCATGGCTCCCTCCACTGGGAACCCATGGTCATTTTTTTTGGTGTGTGACAAGATCAGGAGGGAGAGGCTAGTCTGGGGAGAGGGTCTCAAGCTATCTGCTGCCCCTGGACAACCCTGATCCGCAGCCTGGCCCATTTTCTCCCTCAATCTTAATTTCAGAGCGCTACTGCCTTTCTTCCTAATTGGTAGGAGAATGTAATTGTAAGTAGACCCTGGCCTGAGTCTCCACTCCAGCAAAGTGAGAGCGAGCCTGGGACACCCAGGAGGACCACCTGCCCCTTATAGGAGGCCCTTCCTTGATCTATCAGTTCATGTCACCCATATCCTCAAAGCGTGGAGAAGCGTGGCTGCCCACAGGCAGGAGGGAAGAGACCAGACTATAAACCAAAATACCAGGCTGCTTCCCTGAGTCCTAAAGGGGTGACAGCAACTGGCTGGGCCTAGCCTTTTCAGTCTATGAAATAAGAAGTGGGTTAAGGTGATAGCAAGTGCCTGGCTCCTCAGGTAGATGCTACGTGACTTCTGGCACGTTGAGAGTCTGTGCGTTTCCTGGGTGACCAGCTGAGCCAGCGATGACGACAAGACAGGAGTGTGACAGGAATGTGAGGGAGGAAGGAGGCAGTGCTGTAAGCTGGCCAGCCCCTCACATGCCACTAACTCTGCCAGCACCCTTCGGCCTGCTTGGCACTGCCCTCCTGCCCTGCTGGGGGTGCTGTTTCTCTAGCTTCCCCTTGCTCTCTGTGTGGGAGACTCTGCTGATGGGCCTGAGCCACTGTGACTCCCTTCCCTTATCTAGTGCAGGCAAGGTTACCGAGGCCTAGGGCAGGCAGGCTGGTATGAGGGCAAGTGCAGACAGTCCTTACCTGAATGATGAGGGCCTAGGTTGGGGGTGGGCTCTAGGATTTCATTTTCTTAGGGCGGCAGGTGATCCAGGGAGGCTGCAAGCCACTCTCCCTGTACGGGCAAGGAGGAATAAGTTGTCTTGTCTTTTTTAAAGGGGCCATGGGTTCCAATGTCAGGAAGGACCGTGCCTTGATAAGAAGCTGGCCGCAGATGATGCTCTGCCTGGCAGGAGTGACGAAGTCCAGGGAATAGCACCTTCTCGGGCTGTGATTTTTGCCAAAGGCCAAACAACGCCCTGGGAACATACTGTTCTGACATCGCCACCTGCATCTCCCCAGGCAGCATTTCCTGGAGATGCGTGACCAGGAAAGCAACAGGCCAGGGCCTCTAGATCCGAGGAGGGGTGGCCTGGATGAGCAGAGCCTCAGGTGCCCAAAGACAGGTTATAGACCCGGGAGAAATGCCCTCTTCTCAGGGGAGTGCTCTAGCCAGAGCCCTGGCAACACAGGGACATTCACTTCCTTCTTGATGAGATCTGACAGGCACTGAGGGTGGGAGAGCCAGCCAGCACACACTGGGGCATCCACGTCATCATGCCATGCATGGGTGGTAGCACTTGCAGCCACTACATAGTGCTTGAGTGAGCCCAGAGGGCCAGGAACAGACCTCTATGTTCTCAGAGGCCTATTATTTGACCTGGGCAGGCAGTTACCCCTAGTGCAGAGCTGATCTGCCATCGGCGTCCAGCGTTCCCAGCAATCAGGTCTCTTGGAGGCAGGGTGGCCTCCAGTAGGTGGAGACTGAATTGTGAGGCTGTTGGGTGTGGAGTGACCAGGGTGGGCCATGGTTGGAGGTGGGCTGTGGGAAGCTAGGGCAGTGGGAGCCAAGCAGGCGGGCTGAGCTGGCAGCTGATGAAGGCTTCAGAGGAGCTCAGTGCGCGGCTGGCTGGTCCAACACCAGAACCTTCAAAGCATTTGCCTTTCTGGCAGGCCCTGGAACAGGGCTGCGGCTGGTTCGGGAGAGGCCTCAGTGCGCAGGGGAATAGAAGCCCCAGATCTGCATCCAGAGGCGATTTTCCCAGGCTCCTTCCTCCCACACAGCGGCTCCCTCCCTCAGATCTGGAGCTGGATCAGGCACTTCTAGCCAAGTCCTCATGGCTGAACAACTCAGCCCTGGGCTGGGCTGCTCCTGTCTGGAGAAGCAAAAACCAAGGCAGAACCCAGGATAAACAGGGGCTCCTTGGCGGCAGCCACCTCTCCCTTCCACTAAGGACTGCTCCCAGTCTACCAGCTGTCAGAAAGGGCGCTGAGCTGAGCTGTCAGAAGTGGTCAAACTTCTACTTGAGCCCCTGGTCTGGTTTAGTCCCTCTCAAGAACAGAGGCTTCTGGGACTGAGGAAGAGACGAAATCTAAGCAGGGGCAAAACCACACCAGAGCCAAAGTTACTGGTGATTACCCCTAACATAGAGGGAAAGGAGGCTGGAGGGTATCTCCCTGCCACTCCCATCTCCTCTATGCCTGTGGATCAACCTGTAGCTAGACTTGCCAATAGGAACAGAACCCAGTGGTTGGAGTTTCACTCTGCACTTCCTTAGCCCTCCCTCTAGAAGCGGTTTTTATGAGCCGCGAAATAGCTGAAATGGAGAAGCACACTTGTCGTCCCCTCCACAGAACCAGGCCTCACCTCTGCCATCTGCCAGCAGGGTCATGGAGCATCCAGATGGAGAGAGGCAACGCTTTGGTTGTTCTGCGCAGCCTGCTCTGGCCAGGTCTCACCTTCTACCATGCTCCCCGCACCAAGAACTACGGCTACATCTATGTGGGCACGGGTGAGAAGAACCTAGACTTGCCCTTCATGCTGTAGGATGGAAGAAACCCGGGTATTCAGCTCAGTCTAAAGAATGAGCTTGGCTTATTTGTTTTGTCTTGCCTTTCCTTATTTCTGCCTCCTTTTGGTGTCCAATCTCTAAGGAGAGGCCCACTGAGCCAAGAAACCTACCTAAAGCAAATGGCAATGAACTCGAATGTGTTAAAGGAGACATTAGATAATGATGGGTGGCATGGCCGTGGGAGGTGACAACCAGCAATCCTCTGAGGAAGGCAGCTCCTTAGACTCAGGTGAGAGCTACATGTAGGCCATGCAGCTTAACTCACGTTCTCCAGAATAAGGCGCTCAGAGCTGTCAATAAAAAGTATGGAACCTGCTTAGTGCATGAACTCCATCCAGCGGCACTCCAGTGGTCCATTGTAAGGGCTTAGTGGCTTGATGCTCAGCAACCAGATGGTAACATGCTCAGGCTCCCAGACTTCCCAAGCAGCAAGCACACACTCAGAAGGTAAGTCCGTGGTCGGGTTTATGACATTGCTTCTGGCAAAACTCCTGTGCCCCAGCACTGACCATCACCCAAGCCAGTCATAAAATCACAGCAACTGCCAAAGGACCCAGCTTGCCTGCCCCTAGCTCCCAGCACTGTTGCTGGCAGCAAGAGCACTAAAGTACTATCCCTTGTGCATTTGTGCTGGCTGGCCAGGCCATCCTATGGTGGAGGGCAGAAGGACAGCTGTGGGGGCTCCCAAGCTGGCCTGCTGCTGCTCCCCAGCAGATGTGCAGGAGGTGCTCTGGCTAGGTCTCAGTCAATGATAGAATTTCAAAGGCGTTCTTGAGTAGCAGATGTTGTCCTTTAGGAGTGGTGACCCCACAGCCATGCCCACCTTGTTCCAGCGGGCACCTTTTTTGTAGATGGGCTTGACGGAGTGGGGAGACCAGCGGGTCAGATAACTGTGGAGGAAGCACAAGGAGGTGGCTATCAGTGCAGGGCGCATGCTGGGACGGAGACAGCAGGGTACGGTCTCCTTGTGCCAGGCTGCCATGCGCCAGGCAATTCCTTCCTCCAGTTTTCCTTTTTCTAGGGGAAGGGATTTTCCTGCTGAGTGTCCTATAAACAGATGGGCTGGGTGCTTGTTGCTCCAACTGTGTGTGGCCAGGGTTAGGCAGCCTGGGCAGCTCTCTGATCTTTATGAGTTGTCAGTGTTTGTCCGTGCTGTGGGAGAAGGCAGAGGAAGAGGCTGCTTGGAGAGTAGATTGCTGCTCTCTGGCCCCAGCCAGGGAAGGACAGTGATGCAAGGGTCTGGAGGAACCCTGCACTCTTCCCCACTTGGCTCTCTCTGCCACCCCAGCCTTCAGGGAATTCCCCAGGTCATCACAACTAATCAAGACCCCTACCCCTCACTTATCCCATGACGGGAACCAAGGGATAAAGGCCTTTGGGTGCAACCTTGGCCCAGGAAGGTTCCTGTAAGTAGGAGGGGTTGGGGAAAATGATGGCCACCCATAGTCCTCTGGCCTCCTTTGGGGATGGCCAGGGTCCTGACAGTTCCTGGAAAAGTGGCTCATATGAACTTGGATCCTGTCCAAAAAGGCCCATCCTTTATCCTGAAAGTTCAGCTATGACAATAGCCAGGAATCCTCCTCTGCCTCCACTCTAGGTGTGTGTTCACCCCAGCACCTCTAGATACCTCAAATGAAAAATTTTTTAATTTTAAAAATGAATAATTTTGGCTAAAAATTTTTAGATGAAAAAGAAAAAAAAGATTGCTGATTTATGCATTTCAGCTGAATTCCTCTGGCTCTTGGTCTTTTGCTATTAGCTCTGTGCAGAGGGGAAGCTGTGAGGGTGGGGCGTGGGTGGGTGGGTGGGTGGATGTGGATGCCTGATCTGCATTCCATGTGTGTAGAGTGGGAGTGGGGGCTGCCAATATCTGCTGGAAATGTCAATGCCCCTGCTGGGGTACTGGCTCTAAAGGGGCTGGCCCCAGGACAGCTTTTTTTCTATGATCAGTTTTCTTGGATAAAAGAAGAGTAAGGCAAAGGGAAGGGACCACCAGATTGATTCCTATGCTGACCTCTCCTGTCTTTTGGGGAGAGGGTGAGGACATGAAGCTTGGGAGCAGGCCCGCCAAAAGGAGTGCTTACTGGGTTCAAGGACTCCAGAAGATCCCTAGGCTGATCAGGTTTCCCAGAGCTACTGTCCTCAGCTGTTCTTTTTCTTTTGTTTTGGTACTGAGGATTGAACTCAGGGATGCTTTACCACTGAGTTACATCCCCAGCCCTTTTAATTTTTTGAGGTGGTCCTGCTTCACCCTCTCCAGTTTCTAGGATTCCCGGTATGAGCCACCGTGTCTAGTCCTCAGCTATTCTCTTCCCCAGGCCTTGGAGATCAGAGAGAACCAAGGGGACCAGCAGAACCTGGGCCCCATACATGGCAGCTCAAGGGCCTCTGGGTGGAACCATGTAGTCTGTTGCAAGGGAATCAATTTCCTTTATAGCCAGGACTCCCCCTCCCCCAGGGTGGCCTTTTGCAACCCAAGAGCCCCCACACGTCATCAATCTCCTGTCACGTTAAAGGACACCGGATGTATGGGAGGGAGCCTGGCCTAGCTTCAAAGGCCTGAGGGCAGGATGGATTGTGTCCTCGGGCCTGCTGCTGTCTCTTAAAAATCCAGGAGGGTGGGCTCAGCCCCCAGTGGGTCCATAGCCTGGTGGGAAGATGTAGGAAGAGGTTACCATGTCCAGAGCTGCTAGTGGTTGGCCCAGCTCACAATGTGGGAGATACAGGTGGAACTGGGCACAGGGCCAGGGTGCTGGCAAGGTATCCATAAAGGCACAGATCTGGCCCAGGCTCTGGGGTCAGGGGAGACAGGGTACCAGGAAGCAACCCTGTGTTCCCATATCCTGCACCTTTGACCCAGCAATCTGGCCTCTCACCCTCCATACCTGGGTTCTAGTAGGGCTCAGTCTAGGAGGTTTACTGGGAGTTGAGGGTCTTGTTTTGTGACAGTCATCTTTGGTTCCCTACAAAGAGCAACTGAATTTTTCTCACTCCAGTCTGGAAACTACTAGAGCAGCTGGACAGACTGGAGGCTGTCTGGAGGGGCCATTAATAGAGGAATACAAGAAATTCCAAAGTCAACTTTACAGACCTGGCCTTACTCTGAACAAAGGGACATCATAGATTTAAGAGCACATGAGTGTGGTGATGTCAGAGACAAACAAGGAACGGACAACAGGATAGCTGCTTGAGTGTTAGACAAGAATCTGCTCCTATTCTAGAAAGGCTACCTTGTTTAGGCTGGAAGGAAGACTGATTCAAGGGTGTGGGCTGTCTTTTCCTCAGGACCTCTCAGGCTGCCACACAAAGTTGAGTTGGATGTGAACTGTACAACTTCATGGAGCACTGCTTGTGATCTAGTCTACATGGACACCACCCTGAGGTCATGCAGTGCATGACCTGCTGTTATGTATAGTGACCCAGAGAGCTCTTCCATTTCTTATTTGGTACTGGGGAATTGAAGGCAGGGGTGTTTTACCACTGAGCTACTATCCCAGGCCTTTTTATTTTTTATTTTGAGAAGGGTCTTGTTAAGTTGCTGAGGCTGGCCTTGATTGTGATCCTCCTGCTTCAGCCTTCCCAGCCAAGCTGCTGGAATTACAGCTGTGTGCCATTGTGCCCTGCGAGCCTTGCTCTGCCCTCTAATAACCCCAAAGATACAGTGAGCTAGAAGACTGAAAGTTTGTAGAAGTACCCTGACATCTCCATAGCAACTGAGTGTGATGTCATAAACGGGATTAGCACATTCCAATGCCCAATCAGCAGGCCTCCTTACCCTTCTTGCCTCTATGTCAGTGTTCCACAGGGCTGGGAAAAGGAAAGAGTCTGGGGCCAATAAGGCAGGCAGTAGAAGCAGTACACACTGCAGTCATGGTGGAATGATGGGGGTGGGGGTGCTTGAGCTGGTGAGGAAAGGACCAGACATCCAAGGCCACTCTAGCTTTCTTGAGCTGTGGGCCACACTCCAGCAAATGGCTTCCCCAGTGGAATCCAGTGTGAGCCGCAGGCCCACAGAGTGCTCTGGTTGTTGGCACCCAAGATTACTTACCGGTTGGGTTGGGGTTTGCTCTTTGGAACAAATCCTTCAGGAAGCCGAGGCCTGTGATTTGGGAGCAGACCTGAGTGGAGGAAGAGCATATAAGGGATGGTCTCTGTAGCTGAGGAGGCATCCAGAAAAACCAAGTGGGAGGTGGGCACAGGGGTGGGTATAACTACCACTCTCAGTACCTGCTTCTTTGCCAGGAGGGTAGATACGTAGGGCAACAGAGAGGGAGGGGGGGAGCCTGCAGCCCTCTAGCTTAGGGGCCTTCTACCTGCTCGGTGGGCCATCTTCACACACTCCTCAATCTTGCGGTGTTCTTCCTGGCATAAGCCTGTGATTTTTCGGGGCAGCATGCCTCCATGAGGCCGGATGAACTGGCTTAGTAGCAGAACATCCTAGTGGAAACCGAACATAGGAGACATAGGTCAGCTAGATTTACCTTTAATCCTGGGGAGTCATGGGGAGCCACTCCAAGGGGTTGACGTCTCTCAGGAACCCACCTGAGATGACTCTTTCCACACAGACCTTCGTACATTAGTCAGCTACCTTCTCTAACAAAGGTTAATCTCAACTCAGTAGGATTTTCTGTACTAAATTACCAACCCCAGGAGCTCTCTTTGCCTCCATGAGACTGCATGCTGCTAGATTAGGAAAGAGACTACAAATGCTTTGAGAAGCACCCATCTTTCATGCACTTGCAGTATGTAAAATATCTGGTGGATTGTTCTCCTCAGAAGAATACAGACATTCCATACAAGAAGGAAAGCCATTTCAGCCACCAGAGCCTAGAGGCCACAGGCTGAGAATATGCAGACAGGCCACTTTGCCTTCTGCCATTTCCTCTGAAGTGCTAGGCAAGAATGCGAGCTGAGGAGGGGGCCAGGTTGTTAAGTTTAATCCTACATTTTCTAACCCCCCCGTTGACCAGATGGGAATGGATTCCTGGGCTTCCTTTGGGCCATCACATGTTCAACAGGCTGCTCAGGATGGGTCAAGGAAAAAAAGATAAAGAGAGTCAGAATTGAGCGAGAAGGCCCCTTTCCCCCACCTTTCACAGAATGGCTGAAAGGGTTAACAGAATACATCACTGTCCCACTAGTGGCCTGGCCTGCAGTCTTAGCGGTCATGTTCCATATACTGACTTGCTGCCCTGGCAGGCATCTCACTGTATGACTGCAGATTTACATTAATCACTGGACAGTTCCTGAGGGACCCAGGCCCCCAATTCTCTCCCCTATACTCTTCAGAATCAGCTGAAAAAGAACCTAGATTAGATTACTCCAAGGCTGATAAACTGGGCTCATCACCCCAGCCCTCCACTGTGGGCTGCCACGCAAGCTGATGGCTTTGTGCAGTTCAGGCTAACAGTGCTCCAAGTAGAAAGGGGTAAAAGGGAAAACAACTTTACCCTTTACCTCAGAGGGGATTAGATTTCTTCTGCTGGATAAACAGAGCCAAGTACATTTCCTGGAAACTGCTGGTAGGAAGAGTGACCCACAGTGGCTGGGCAGTTGTGGGGTTCACTGATCAGCAGCTGGGATTCAAAGCATAACCACATCCCCACTAATTTTCATGTTGCAGGAAGCTCATAACACCACTCTTCTGCCTGTACACTTTCTATTACTTCTGGTACCCACTGGCAGAAGGGTGTAGGGAAGGGAGAAAGAGCCTCTTCCCAAAGGTGGCCTGAAGCCAAGGCTCCCAGCCCAGGAGATTAGTTGGGTCATTCTGTTCAGATCCCATGGGCATGTGGCCTCTTCTGCTCTTATCATCTGACCAGGATCTCTGTTCTTAGTCATCCATTCCACAAAGGGGCATAGGGACAACTCACAGGTCAAACTGGCTTAGAGCCTGAATCACCTGAAATCCCAGAATAGAGTGCTTAATGTCACCAGCTCTGAAGAACAAGTATGGATTTCTCCAGGGCTGTGTCCTACCCCCAGGCCCTCCCCATCTCTACAGGGTAGTAGGAACTTGGGCTCTGTATCACTGGAATTTGTATCCCAGTTCTGATACTTAGCTGGGTGATTTGAGGCAAGTTCATTAACTTCTCCATGCCTCAATTTCCTCATCTGTAAAACATGATGGAAAAGTCCCTACTTCAAGGCATTAGTGTGAAAACTAGGTGAATTAAAACAAGCACTCACGACAGTGCCTAACGCAGGGTGTGCCCTCCCTGCCCTGTCTGCTGCTGTGGGCACTTGTTATCCCTTTCTCCAGAAGTAGCTGCTCCAGAAGAGGTGGAACAATCAGGGATCTCTGTATCTCCAATATGGGAAAAAGGAGCAGTATGTTCCCAGATCACAGTAAGAACCATAAGCCAGCCTCATTGTAAAAGAAAGAGGGCTGGGGATGTGGCTCAGTGAATATAGCACTTGCCCAGCCTATGCCAGGTCATGGATATGATCCCCTGCACCACACAAATATATACCTACAGAAATAAAAACAAAATGAATATGGTATAATGTGTTATTATGTATGATTATGATGTACCAATTTTAAAAAGTAGTAAAAGGAGGAGAGTAAACCCAGAGCTGATTCTATCACTGCAAGAATATAACTCCTAGTGCTCCAAAGCATAACTGATCCATGAACTCAACCCATGGCTCTCAGTCCTGGCTGCATGTTAGAATCAGAGGAAAGATTTAAAAATGCCTGGCTCACTCCCAGAGACTGATTCGGTTGGTCTGAGGTAAATGTGGGGCATCACTTAAAGTTCGTCAGGTGATTCTAAAGTCCAGCAGGGTTTATAGCCACTGGACAATGCTGCTGTTTTTTGTGGTTTTGTGAAATGCAACAGTGGCTATGGCATGGGGATAATGCTCAAGTTAACTAGGAACCCAACCTCTACAGCACGCAGGCTGAATGTCTCTGCACGCAGACTCACCTCATAGGTATACTTGTGCTTCAGGTTCCAACGGCAGATGGGACACTGGCCTGAGGGGTTGGGGGGATTCGGACTCTCCTTGGGAGTCTCTATGATACGGCCTTCGATCTAAATGGAAGAGAAAGAAGACAGCCGAGGCACAGGATCAATGTGCAGCTGCTTATCTTTGAGCAAACCCCCAATGACAGGAATTCTAGTGGAGGTTTCTCTCTGAAGGTCTGGTGGCAGCAGGCCTCCACTGCCTGCACTTAGGTGTGTTTCAGCTGGGATGGCCACAGGGATGTGGTTTGGCAGCCTTCGGGGTAGTGGGAACTATCTGAAGAGAGAGGGGGAGGCTTACTCTAGTAACTGAATGCTACCTTTCCTTCCTCATCAAACAAAAACAAAACACTAGAACTTTATGCTTCCTCTCGGCCTCTGGCAAAAGGTAATACATGCACAGGGTAAAAGTTTCAAATGGCACTGGAGACCAGAGAAGACTCCCTCCCACTCCATGTCATTCTGAGGAGACTGCACTTTCTAGCTTTACCTCACAGAGTGAAGTCTATGCAAGCAGACCGCACCAGAGGTGATTTTGCACCCCAGGGGACCCTTGGAAACATGTGGGGACTGGGAAAGGAGTGTGACTGGCATCTAGCTGGGATGCTGCTAACCATCCCACATTGCACAGGATAGTCCTTCCAACAAAGAATTATCCAGCCCCAAATGCCATTGGTTCCAAGGCTGAGAAACCCTGGGCCCTGTCCCTAAAAGCAGATATCTATGTGCACTGCAGTTCTCTTCTCTTTGAAAATAAACAAAAACCACAAACAGGCAGATACATTCCTAGCTCCTCTTTGTTTTTATCATTTTAGATGCCACCTTTCAAACCCTGCTAAGACCATGTGCAAAGTGACCCCCCTGCAGCTGTATTGTGTCACAGCCTTGAAATTACTCGGTGCTATAAACCAATGATCTGGGAGTCAGCTCTAACTGCAAGGGGTATTTAGAGAGCGTGGCTGACTGTGACTGTGAACTATGAGCATAAGGCTGGGAAAAATTTGAGGCTTTGGGAGGGAAGCAACACTGTCTCCTGGGGGTAGCAGGGAGACTGGCCAAAGAGAAAGGGACTGGAAGTCCTGCGTGGCTGTGCTGGGCACCTCTACCCACCTTTCTGCCATAGCAACCACTATGCCATACCTCTACCCACCTTTCTGCTATAGCAACCACAACCATAGGTAGAAATAGAAGCTGTGGGCTACAGAAAATCCACAGGTGCATAGTAGGCCTTGGGAGGGCATACTGCAATGCGAGAGAGCTCACATTTATTACCCTTCCTTATATGAATGGCCCTGTGCCAAGAATAGTTCACATAAATCATTTCATTTAGCTCTCGCCACCTAGTATGGCAGGTATCTGATCTTATTTTATGGAGGAGAAAGTATCACCCATGGTCAGCCATGGCAGTGCCTCTCCAGGCATGGATGGGCTCTCCCGGAGCTACTTCGAGTGTCTCCGTGTTCATTCTACAAAGAGCAAATTCTTGCCTCACATGAAAAGCACTCAAAAGTCAGGTGTAGTAACACATGCCTGTAATCCCAGGCACTTGGGAGGCTGATTCAGGAGGATTACAAGTTCGAGGCCAGCAGGCAATTAAGGTACTGAGGACCAAACCCAGGGATGGTCTACCACTGAGCTACTTCCCTAGCCCTATTTAATTTTTTTATACTAGGGATTGAACCCAGGGGTGCTTAACCACTGAGCCACATCCCCAGTCCTATTCATTTATTTATATTTATTTTGATACAGGATTTATTTATTTTAGTTTTGAGACCAGATCTTGCTAAGTTGCAGAAGCTGCCCTTAGCCTCCCAAGTTGCTGGGCTTCACCCTGGCAACTTAGCAAGACTCTGTCTAAATAAAATTTATAATAGGGCTAGGGGTATAGCTCAGTGGCAGAGTGCTTACCTATATGTGTAAGCCCTGGGTTGAAGCCCCAGTACTGCAAAGAAAGAGAGAAAGAGAAGAAAAAAATCAGATGTATCTTTCTCCTTTAGTATGGAGTTTACAGGGTAAATGTTTATTTGGCTTTAATCAAGGAACCCCAAAAAAGTGCCCTGATGGGATGGAAGTCCTCTAAAAACTCCGGACTGTTGAGGCTAATTAGTGGAAAGGTTAAGGGAGTATTCTGGGGAAGACCCAAAGCAAAAAGACTTGTCTTGGGGAGGGCGGAGCTTGGCCAGCTGCCAGAAGGGTTAAATCCTTGATTGACATACTAGTTACAGAGGCTTCTAGGAGCTCTGTGGAGTGGCTGAGGATTTTTTTGAGGCATGGAAGGCCATGTGAAAACAGCGTTGTCTTTTAAGGATTATAGGATAATCTAGGCCCCGTGACTCCCCAAGGAGGGGAGGTGAGATGTGTCCAGTGAAGGAAAAGGGAGAGTGGATAGATGAACAATCATTCCAACTTTCTTACCAACAGACAAGCCAACATGCCAACTAAGTAAGGCCAGAGTGCAAAGAATGTCACCTTTCAAATGTGGATTCTTAAAGGAGTAGCTTAGTCATTCCAGGCAGAAAAGAAAGGGAACTGATATCCAGGCTCCCAATTCTGGCAACTCACTCTGGCTCTCTAGGCCTGCAACACTGCCTTAGTTTCCCCTATGGGAAACTGATTTATCACCTGCCAAAGAATGCATCAGCAAAGGCCTCTGAGACCATATCATACAAAAGATCACTTTAATCAAATAACAGATAATCTCCACCCAGGCCCAGTGACTGTTCTTGATTAGCCACATTACAATGCAGGCTTGGAAAATCATTGACTGTAGGATTTATGGTCACCCAGGGGCTGGTCCAGGAGCCAGGAGTCCAGTGTGGGCCTGCTTCCCTCCCTTAGAGGGACAGCCAGGCAGTTCCAAGCGTTAAGGAGGTTTTAAGTGGCCAACTCGATACTTACTATAGTTGTCTTCCCTTCTTGGATCTCCACCACTGCAGAGATAAAGAAGAAAATTAGGTCAGTCATTTAATAAGGAACAGGGAGTTTCAAATAACAGCTCAAATTCTAGGCAGAAAAAAGGAGCCTCAAGTCTGCCCTCTCCTGTGGGCCCTATCTGGGTCAGAAAGCATTCAGGGTTCACTCCCCAATGGCCAAGGCTGACTGGGGGCAAGTCTTGGTCAGGCACAGTGTCATCTCTCTGGGATTAAGGGTCTCCACACTATTTTTGCCCATCTAATCTGAAAGATACATCTTGGTTATATTTAAAAACTGGCAAGATCCTGCCCTGTTGTGGTTAGCAATTATAACCTAAAAGTTGGTGGGGCAGCAGCATTGGAAAAAAAGTACTCCCTACAAATGCCCCTTCACAAAGGAAACAGACAAAATGACTTTGAAAGGCTTGCAATTTAAAATAGTACTACCCTAACAGTGTTCTAGCAGCCCCGTGGTGGCTAATCAGTGAGACAAGTTAACCCTTAAACACATCCTTAGAGTTGCATGTTAAATCCCTATGAAGACAGCCCTGTGAATTAAATCCTCTCCTCAGCTCTATTTTTCTCCATTCCTCTCCCCAGAGTGTTGCAAGAAATCTGCAGGAATAAGGAACCTGCAGATAGGGTGCAACAGCATTTCAAGAAGAGCACTGTCACTCCAAACTGAGAGTGACTCCCTAGGTCTGAGACAGTCAGAAGGAAATACAGGGCAAGACCATCAGTTGCACATATCTGTCAGTTACACACAATTCCTATCTCACCTAATCAGGATACAGAATGACAACTCCAACAACCACCAAAGGAAGAACCAAGCTGACAGCCCACATTCAGCACTGTTCCTGGAGAGAATCCCCTTTTCTTTGAGTTTATTTAGGAAGAGAGCAAGCCATAGCTGTTAGCAGAGGATCTGGTCCATAGCAAATTATTTTTAGGGAGCATAATACTTGCCAAAGTCCCCTTCTAATTGCTAACTACTGCAAGAGAAAAATTGGGCCTGCATAGTTGCGAACTGTCTCTCAAAACACTAAAACCCTATTTAAACAGCAGCTTGGTTACCACAGTTTAGCTTTACTTAGCTCTGGCCAAAGCAAGAAATAGTACAGATTAGAAAAAGCCTAAGGTCTTTAACGTTGAGAACCCAGTGAAAGCTACAGACCACTCCTAAGGGAAATGGCCATCAGCATATATACAATTAGCTGTGGATTGCAAGAAGCTCCTGGCCAGCTGTGATCTATGCATTAGATATCCAAATCCTAATTCTGGTTATCCCTTGTGGTAGGAATATGTAGGTGCTTTTCGTTTCTTCTTTTTGCCTATTTACATTTTCTAAAATAAACATATGTAGCTTTTGTAATAACAAATAAAAGAAAAGGGACTAAGGAAAAAAGGCAATTCTAACCAAGCTAGAGGCCAATGGCAGCATCTGCGTGATCACTGACACCTAATTGGACACAGACTGCTTGGAATTGTCCTCCATTTGTTTTCTGGGCTAGCCATTCCAAAAGACTCATTATTCCAAAACAACCAACCTGAGAGCCTCTCAATATCCAACCCAGCCACACAAAGGAGAAATGATGACTAGCAAAGCCCTGAGGCTCTCTCCAGAGAACACAGTAGTCACTAATCAATTCACAGACAAGCTAGGTTTCTCAGAGAAACTTAATTTGCATCACCCCACACACGGATCTACTTGTACAGAACACAGACCAACCCAAGAACGGGATGTGGATGAGACTCAACCTGGTCCTTAGTCTGAAAGCCAACACAGCTGCAGAGGGAAGGTCATTGCAATGTGTCAAGATACAACCAAGGGTTGGGGGAGTAAAAAGAGGGCACACATCCCCAGCCCAGTAAGGGATCCAAGTGCCCCGAAACTTTGAAAATTTGCACAAACCGAATTGGGAGAGGGTCTGCGGGCAACCCATGAGCAACAAGGAGGGGGAAAAGTTTCTAAGCTAAGAAGCCCCACAGGAAAGAAAAGCAGACACATTCTAGTACCACTGGAGTCAGCACAAGTACAATGCCCTGAAACACAGAGGATAAACATGTGGTTCCCTTCGAGGTGCAGGCACTTGGTCCTAACCATGAGGTAAACAACTCTAACAAAACACACATCACTCTCGGCCAAGACCCAAACCCTGAAGTCATCCCACTGGCCCCTGGAAAAGAGATCAAAGCCCATGGCAAGCTCCACTATTCACAAGCTCTCCACACAGCAACTCTGAGCCAGTGAGTCCTGTTACTAGGAGTCAGTGGGTAAAACAATAGGCAGATGCTTATCTAAGGGAGACAATTTGTCAAACCAGAGGAATGACCTGAGAACTCACAAGAGACAGAGACTGATCAGGGTGGTGTCTTAATGCAGGGGGAGAGGGCCCAGCTGGAGCCTGGACAGGACCTCAATAGATTTTAAGCCTCTGGAAAGAGGAGATAGGCATCAAAATAGTATTGATTTTCAGTGTACATAGCAAAACATGTTAAAACCAAACAACTGAGATCCATTTTGTCCCCAGCCTCCTCTCCATTCAAGAGAAGTGGGGTGGCTAAGAAAAGCTGAACTAAGAGATTTAGGCACTAACAGAAAACTTGTTTGGGAAAAGATGAAATCACCCTTGTGTTCAGAGATATGGCAGTATCAAGTAAACTAAGGAAAAAGATGAAGCAGTTGTCTAAACTAGAATTAAGGGCCAAATCCTTCAAAATAGGCATTTCTCATAATCTGTCCCAAATGAGGCAACACATTTGCTAAGCACCCATGGGGTGTACAGCCTCACTCTACATATTGTGGAGAGCTGGGATTGAAAAGGCACAATCTTTGCCCTAGTGGAAGAAAGGGAACTAATCCAAGTATGAGAATTTTACCATAAGAAAGCTCATGCTCTTAAAGAGGTTCTTTGAGTACTTCAGTAAACTCTCCTAGGATAGAGTCCAAGATAATTAAATTATAATAGTCTGGAGAAAAACAGCAATGTGGTGAGACTGTGAGGAACACAAAAGACCTTGATGGCCACATAAACACAAATGCAGTGATCTGCAGCTGTAATAAAGACCCAACTGCTTAGTAAAGAAGGAAGTGAGGACAGATAAATAATGAGTAGTATTGCAGGGTATGGCTGCAGTGAGGTCAAAGAAACCAAGAGCTCCAAGATCTGTGGGAATCAAATCCTAAGCAGAGTATGAAGGAATGGAAGAACTGAGGGCCAGAAGGTAGCCTTACCAATCTTGTTTAGGGTTAGGAAGCAGAGAACATTTTGGGGATGTGTGCCTGCACTTCTGGCCAACTGGCTGCTTTTCTCAAATAACTTCTTGCATCAAGGTCTGCTTTCTTTAGTTCAGCTTTAATTCAACCATTAAAATTTCCTGGTTCTTTCACTGAATCTCCCCTTCTTTTCCCTTGGACCTCTCAGGGAATTTCCATGCCCTACACTTCTGAATGAGGAGAATTACTGCTGCATAGAAATCTCTTTCCACTAACAGGTCACTTTGGACTATGTCCCTTGAGTTCTTTTGTTTTGTTTGTGGTACTGGGGATTTAACCTAGCTCTACATCTGAGCTATACCTCTAGCCCCACCCAATCTTTAGTACCAGATTGAACCCAGGCACTTAACCACTGAGCTACATCTTCAACCCTTTTTATTTTTTATTTTGAGACAGGGTCTCAGTAAGTTGCTGAGGCTGGCTTTGAACTTAGTGATCCTCCTGCTTCAGGGGCTCCTCCCCATCCCCCAGCTGCTGGGATTAGAGGTGTATACTATCATGCCAGCTTCCTATTTTATTTTTGAGACAGGGTCTTGCTAAATTGCTGAGGCTGGACTTGAACTCGTGGTCCTCTTGTCTTAACCTCCAGAATTGCTGGGATTACAGGTGTGTGCCATTCCACCTGACTGTCCCTTGAATTTATTTCAAAGTCCTCAACTTGCATACTCTTCTCTCCTGGCTTTCAGCTCATTAAACTGTCCACCCTGCCAGGCACATCTGAAATGACAAGTCCTCTAAAAGCTCTCTTAACTAAATGAAGAAATGATGCAAATACTCTTTGGCCTTTCCCCATTTCAATAAGCTCTGCTGAAAACGTATTGAATCATGTATAGATGTTAATTCATACAATTATGCATTTGTTTTCTTGTTTTTAAATACATTTCCTTAATGAGGGATCTAAGAGTCACAAAGCAGGACAAAGATCTAACAAAATCTTTGCTAAATCTGGCAGTACCAACCATAAAGGCATTAAACAGTCTTTAGCAAGTTAACTGTTAAGAACTTTCAGGGGAGGAGGGAACAACACGAAGGCTATGCCATAGAGTACCAAGGTAATGTTACTGATGGAGAGAGAAGACTATTGGCTTAACTTCCACCTCTCCCACTTATAGCTCATGTTGGGCAAGCTACTGAACTCCTTAGGACCAGATTTCCTCAGCTGTTAAAATAAGGACAGTTACTAGCCACCTTTAAGAATCGTTAAAAAGAATGAATAAACATGTGGAAAATCAGGCACAGTATGGTGCAGCAAGAACTTAGTAAATCATAATTTCTATTTTTGTCCCTTTTCAGTCTTGCTCCTTCTATAATAATTGAATCAATCTCTCTCTGTTGGTTTTATATATCCCTCTTGCCAGACTTTAGATCAGATTTTCTCAGAAACAGCAGGATTGGCATTTTAGGCCAGACAGTTCTTTGTTATAGGGAGCTGACATGTGCACTGTAGGATGTTTAGTAGCATCCCTGGCCTATACCCCATGCTTTACAAATAACAGATAGAGCCATTTCCAGAAAACAAAAACTTGAAAGGTTCTGGACACAGATGATTCCTAAGAATACAGAATATGATAGTGCCTTCATGTAAGATCACATCAATTCAATCTAATTCTTAGATTTAGGTTTACCAATGATTAACAGACAGAACAGCTACTAATCCAAGTATTTATGGAGAAGACTTTAGAGAGAGCCATTTGAATATACAGTCCATCATTTCCCAAACCCTCCAACTAAAATAATTCCCTAAGCCTAACCTAAAACATTCCTATCTTTAAAAATCCAACAAAGAAGACCTGGTGCAGTGGAGCATAACTTTAATCCTAGGACCCTGGAAGGCTAAGGCAGGAGGGTCCCAAGTTCAAGGCTAACCTGGGCAACTTAGCAAGGCCCTGTCTCAAAATAAAAGGGCTGGAGATGTAGCTCAGTGGTAAAAGTGCCCCTGCATTTGATCCCCCATACTGTAAAATGAAGCAAAACCAAACAAATAGCAACAAACAAAAACCAACGAGCAAAATAAAAAACTATCCCTCTTTCAACTTTTTTTCTGAAAAAAAGGCAAAGAACTGTTTCAACTTTGAATTTCATAAAGGATATGCAATTTGCAGCCATTAGAGTTTGACACTTGGTAGACAACCTAATAAATGTATTAATATAGGCTTAATTATGCAGCATGGAAACAGATGAAACACCTTATCCAAGTTCTTTCTGTCATCAGCATGATCTCTTTGGTGTCTTTCTTTAAATTATTCTTGCATTATTATCTGGACTTTTTTTCCCTCCTAGTAATTGTTCCATCTTCCCATCATAGTTAAATTCTTCAAGCATACCTGCTATTACCATTTCTTATTGAATATCTTTTTGATTTCTTCAAACTTGCTGGCCACTCTACTGAAACTTTTTGAAATCTAAAGAGAGAACTCTTCCAAGACAAATCCAAAGATTTCTTCGTTAAACTCTTCTTTTTCTCTCTCTGACAACAATGATCATTCTTTTCACTGGATACTTCTCAGCTTTTAATGATATACTGGTTGGCCAATACTATGACAGAATCCTAAACAAAACAAAACTATATCACTTATTTTTCACATCACTCATTCTTTCCTGCTTCCAACAGTACACTAAGGAAGGCCACGTCCTGAAAGACCTTTTCACTCTTTGCCAGATTCCATCCTTTTATAAGCCTGTTCAAGAAACATTCTCTTTCTGAAAATTTCCAACCGGGTTTGCTGTTTCCGGTAACTGAATCTCCCAGTACTTTTTGTCATGTAAATGGCTAACTTGAATTTACTGAAGTGCACAAATATCATCTCATTAGAACCTAAGCTTCTCAGGAAAAGAGCTGTGTTTTCTTTCTTCAGAATCCCTTCACAGCTTGAAGCACAGCACTTGTCCTTCAGTAACCTCTCAAGTTGACACTAGGCTCCTTTCCCAGACAATATTAACGAAAAACGGAACCACCCTGCGGCATTTGCCTGTCTCAGCTGTTCAATGGCCTTTCCACCTCGGCCTGCACCTCTCGGGGAGACTACCGGCCCGGGGGTGAAGGGAAGCCACCTTCAGATCACAGCATTTTCCTCGAGAGAAATTGATGTTCCTTCTTCATGGTTCAGGGACGTTTTAATGAAGGAGATGGCGATGCAATCTCTTCCTGAAAACTTTTCTGAACCCCGCGACATGTTTCTATTTCTGCTAAGTAACTAGGCCTTTCTCTCTGCCCTCCTCCGTTTTCTAAGAACACTTACAAGACACACAAATTCAAACACCATCACCAAGGTCGGAAAAAGGTTTTAAGCACCCTGTGAGGTCAGCACCTCCGCCGATGTTTTAGAGTCTCGTGAAGGAAGGGAGGGGCGCACCACGGCGGGCGGAAGTACTTTCTGTAGCTTTTCTCAATCTCGGACGCTCAGGGACTTAGGACTCACCTTCCCTGAATCCCCGAGCTGGAACCCGAGGGCAGCTGGTCGTGACTGGGACCGTCAGGAGCCCTCGGAGAAGCCGCCCACAGCCGGATACCAGCGCCATGAAGGACGCCATCTTGAAAGCTAAGCCTGACCTCTGTGCACTTCCGCTTCCGGATCGGCGCGTGCGCAGCCGGTAGTTCGGCAGGACCTCTGGCGCCGGACGTTTCGCTCTTTTACTCCTGTTATTATTTTATGTATTTGCTTATTTTAGTACCATGGATTGACCCCCCAGGGGCGCTTAACCACTGAGACTCATACCCAGCTCTTTTTTATTTTTTAAGATACAGTCTCACTAGCTTGCTTAGGGCCTCGCTAAGTTGTTGAGGCTGGCTTTGAACTTGAGATCCTCCGGCCTTAACCTCCCCCTCCGCTGGGATTCCACGAGTGTGCCACCGCTCCTGGCTTTTACTCCTGTTACTGCCAGGTCTCTTACCCCGTGGGCATTTGAGTTAAGGAGAGAAGCCATTGTGTCAAATCGTTATTTCGAGGGAGATCTTCTAGGTCCTTTGTTCCAGTCCCTAGTCTTTAAAATTGCTTTCGTTCCCTGGAGCGCTTGCCTGACGTGTGTGAGACCCTGGGTTCCATCCTCAGCACCGTATATAAATAAATAAAACAAAAAGATCCATTGGTAACTAAAAAACAAAAAAAAAAAACTACCCCTAACATATTAGCTGTGGGGTTTTCAGTTTCTGTGACTGGGGCTCGATCTGTACAGGAGAGGTTGAATGGTTAGGGCTTCTGGTTTTGGAGTATCAGGTATTAGATCTGGGATAGAACTAACACTTCCTTCTTCCCGGCACCGCCTCTCCCCCAACACACAAACTGATCTTGAATTCTTGCTCACTTAGACTTCTCTCCAGCCTCAAGGCCTTTGAACAAGTTATCCCCTCTGCCTGCTCTTTAACAAAGTGGCAAACTCCTACTTATTCCTTAGAGCCCACCTCAAATTCCTTTCTACAGTGAAGCCTTCCTTCACCATCCTGACTCTGGTTCTCGGCACCAGATAAAGGTTCCATCTTAGTTCTTGACACAGTTGCGGTTTTACATTTGTTCGTATAATATATGTCTCCCCACCAGACTGTAAACTCCATTAAGGCAAGAATAGTGTTTTTTTGTTGACTTTCATATCTCCAGCATTTAGTTCAGTTCCTGACGTATAATAAGAGTGTAATATATACTTGTTGAAAGAACAAGTAAAATCAATATTGTAAGGTTGTTGTGAACATTAAATGAGATAAAACAAATGTTCAATAAACATAAGTTAATAGGGCAATTAATTGAGGTAACTCTTTTCCTGTTTGACCGACTTGCTTTATAAGGAAGCTTATGGTACCCAGAAAGAAAGTCCAACTGACTAATTTCCTCTCTTTTACATTTGCAGGATATGTGGGATGTTCCCCTGGAAGATCATTTGCCACTCAATTATTCCACTTGGTGGTAAGGACCCCCCCTTCCAGAATAAACCTAAAGGGGGAATTTCTAGTTATCTTATTCTGATTCAAAGATGAGAAAAACCAAGCTTATTAAGAGGCACAGCATGTTCCTTGATGAGGGACAGAGAAGGGAGCCCACTGTCTAGTTGGGACTGCCACCTCGGTGGGATTGAGGATGCAGAACAATTGTTGCATGGGGAACTTGAGTAGTATCATCAAAGACGGGGAGAACAGGAGAATGTGGCATTGTATACCAAAAAACAAAACAAAACAAACAAACAAAAAAACACCACAATTAGGGGAATCAGGGGAAACTTGAAAGAAATGTCAATCAAAGTAGGAGAAACTGACATCTGGGTTAGGAATGGAACAGAAGGTCTTGGTGGGATGTAGGTATAGATTTCCCTGCCAAGATAGGAAAGCTTTGACTCTCCCTATAGCTTACACTTTTCTTTTATAAAGATGACCTTTAATCACACCCACTGTTAGTACCACATTCCCTGTTTCTTTAAGCATCCTCAACTACTTCTGGGGACCCAGCAGAGGCTTTGGCAGTAACAAAGCCTCACCCAGCACTTGCTTTGGACATAATGAGCTAAGGCATTCAAGTACCCACCTTTGATCATTAATTTATCATAATCAAATTTTATTTTGAAAAACCACTATTTTCTACAATGAAGTAATGTGATCATTGTAGGAAAAAGAAGAAATGGATGAAATAAAAAGAAAATAAATGCCATCCATAATCCAGAGAGACGTGTTAAATATTTAGCAAAATAAAATAATACTGTGCATATTCTTTGTTTTGTAATATCTTGTTTTTTAAATACATTTATTATTAGTCTCTACATGAAAAACCAATTCTGTGAGGGACCAGATTTAACTCAAGAGATTACCCTTATACACACACACACACACACACACACACACACACACACACACAGACCTTTTAATGAAAGTATTAATTATACGGAAAGTACACAAATCAGCAGTGTACAGCTTGAGGAGTTTTCACAAACAGAACATACTATCTATGCCAACAAGTGAACATAACCAGCACTTTATAACACCGACTTGTGTCCCCTTCCAGACACTACTACTTCCAAGGATGATCATTATCTCAACTTTTAGCACCAGAAATATTCTGCTGTGAATATACCACATTTTTTAAAAAAAAACAACAAAAAACCCCCTGTCTTCTGTTGATCCTTTCCATTTGAGACTATTGAAAATAGTGCTGGCAATGGAGTATTATGCAGCACTAAAAAATGACAAAATCATAGAATTTGCAGGGAAATGGATGGCATTAGAACAGATTATGCTAAGCGAAGCTAGCCAATCCTTAAAAAACAAATGCCAAATGTCTTCTTTGATATAAAGAGAGCAACTAAGAACAGAACAGGGAGGAAGAGCATGAGGAAAAGATTAACACTAAACAGAGACGAGTGGGGGGAGAGAAAGGGAGAGAGAAGGGAAAGCATATGGAAATTGTAGGAGACCCTCAATGTTACACAAAATTACATATAAGAGGTTGTGAGGGGAAAGGTGGGGGGGAACAAGGGAGAGAATTGAACAACAGCAGATGAGGTAGAGAGGGACGATGGGAGAGGAGGGGAGGGGGGATAGTAGGGGATAGGAAAGGTAGCAGAATACTACAGTCACTAATATGCCATTATGTAAAAACTTGAGTGTGTAACCGATGTGATACTGCAATTTGTATTTGGGGTAAAAATGGGAGTTCATAACCCAATTGAGTCAAATGTATGAAAAATGATATATCATGAGCTTTGTAATGTTTTGAACAACTAATAAAAAAAAAAGAAAATAGTGCTGGGACAAAACCTGAATTTTGGAAAAAAAATAAACCTTTTTCAGGCTAGCGGCAGAGTTGTTAGGCTATCAGGTTTGTATATGCTTAGCCTTAGTAGATCCTGACAGTGATTGTACCAGTTTACTCTTTCACCAGTTATGTATAAGAGTTACAGGTGATCCACAGCCCTATTCGTATTTGGTATTTTTGTACTTTTTCTCTTGTTGTTCTGGTTGATGTTTAGTAGTGTCTCACTGTGTATTTATTTTATGTTTCTCTGATACCTAATGAAGATAACTTTTCATATGTTTATAGGCCATTTAGATATCTTCTTTTGTAAAATATATGTTCAAGACTTCATTCTATTTTATTTGGGGTTGCTTATTTCTTTCTTTTTGATTTGTAGTTCCTTATATATTCTAGATACCTAGATATATTTATATAGTAAATGTCATATAACTCTTTGTGGGTTGTGTTTTGTTTTCATTTAGTTTGTGGTTTTGATGAGTAGTAATCTTTCATTTTTAACATAGTGTAGCTCATTGGAGTTTTTCTTTATTGTTTGTCCTTTTCATTTATTATTGTTTTTCTCTTTGAAGTCACAAAGATGTTCTAGTATGTTTTCTCTCCAAAATTTTATTTTTTACCTTTCACATTTAGAATTTAAATTCATCTGGGATTGTTTTGTTACAAGACCTGAGATTGCAATTAAGATTAATTTTTCCCATAGCAATATCCAACTGACCCAGCACCATTAAAAAAAAATCACACTTTTGGGGCTGGGGTTGTGGCTCCGTGGTAGAGTGCTTGCATATGTGAGGCACTGGGTTCAATTCTCAGCATCACATACCTCAGTTGGGTATGCTATGGGCTTTTTTTTTTTTTTTTTTTTTGTACTGTTATGCTGTGAAATAAAAGGGGGTGAGGGCTCTTGTCTGGGGCTGCAGAATGGTAGCTGCCACCCATAGGAGAGGTCTTTTCATGATCCGGGGTTTCTAGGGCTGCTGGCAGAGCTACTGTAACACGTGGAGAGCTGTTTCTAGCTGCAGTGGCAATCCTGGAACTCACAGAGCAGCAAGGACACTGTATGCCGGACCTTACCCCATTCCCTCTTCCAAGGAGCCCAGTCCCTAGCTTCTGCCCTGCTTTGTTCCTCACGCCTTGTTCTGGAGTCTTGTCTCCTATTTCTGGAGATAATGTAACTAAATCTTCCCAAGGAAGATGTTCAGGAAACGCCCCTAGGAGATGAACCCAGATAGATTCATGCCAATAAAAATTTCAACGTGCAGCAGAAATGATCTGGTCTGGTGCCTTGCTGCCCACCAACAGGACAGCAGGCTCAGGCCAGAGCAAAGGCAAGAGTCAGGACACCATGGGTGGGTCAGCCAGTCTGACTTCAGGGAAGTTCTGAGCCCAGCTGCAGATGGATGTGCTCTTCCAGCCTCCTTCCCACCTCGCCCAGGAAGAGAGATCTGAGCCAAGAGCCACATGGTTGTGACCTGTGAAAGAGTAGAGGCAATGAAAAGTGTGGGAAGGTGGAGAGCACTGATCTGGTAGAGAGCTTGGTGGGAGGGACAAGGAAAACCAGAGGAAGGGACTGGCAGACCGGAGTGACAGTCATGTTTGCTTTCTCTTAATTAATGTGGTTTCCTTACAAACCCCCTGCTGATTCCCAGCTGGTTCACTCAACCATAACAACACGTGGCCTGCCCTGCCCAGGCCAGGAACTGAGGCTGGATGCCTCCCAAGAAGGGTCTGGTTTCATCTGCAGCGGCTAGCCCTGCTCCCCTTTACTGGCTTTATGCAGATGAGGGAAGGGACAGCGCCTCAAGCTGTGGAGACAGCTGGGCTGGAGAAAAGGCCAGGGCCTGGCTGCTGTGGGTTCGCCTGGTTGCACACTTTGGTTTCCCACGACCTTTCATAAGGGGCAGTACCCTCCTATTTGGGCTGTGGCCTCCCAAAAAGCTGAGTGGTGGGTGGGAGGAAACCTTGGACAAAAAGCCCTTGTTTGGTGGTGGCCTTCCCACAGGTGTGTCCTGCTGATGCCATGTGCCTGGAAACAGTTGCGGTGAGGGTCTAGAGTTTTTGCTAATTCAACATTTTCCATCCAATTTTCAGTGTCATTTCTCTTCTTTGCCAGGATTCTTACTCTGTCCAAATTTTGTCATTCATTTGTTCACTGGTTCATTTCACCAATAGGTTATCAATTGAGCAGGTACTGCATGCCTTTTATGAACAAATGATTATATGCACCTAGGGAATATGCTCTGGGGGTGAATCCTCTTGTTTCACAAAAGAAACACTTTATAAATTTGATGATTGCCCTGATGTTTACTTGCTCTTTCCTTTTTATTTAACTCATTTTTTTTACACATTTTAAATCATGAAATAGGACACACATTCAGAAAAAGTATGTAAAAACTTAAATGTTCCATATAATAGATTCATTATAAAGCAAAACGGATTCATTTCTATGCTGAAGGACCAGGACACAGGACTGCCCTGATAAGGAGAAAGAAGGAAAACAAAGAAGTAGAATCAGTAAGAGGCAGTGTTAGCCGCCTTCAGAGTCCCAAAGGCTTCTGGGAAAGTGAGGCTGGAGGAAGGCCCCAAACAAAACTGCCTGTGGAAGGGGAAGAGACCTGCTGTAGCGTTTGGGTGCCCTCCTAGGCACAGACTAGAATCCCAGCCAAGTGAGCAGTCCAGCCTGTGGCTGTGTCCAGTGAGGCCAGCTCAGCTCAGTGCCCTTAGCAAGCCCAGCTCTGGCTATGTATTTCTGCAGAGGGCAGGATACCCTTTCTGAGAGGGCCTTTGTGTCTCTGTCAATCTAAGTGACACATTTGAGTCCTTTTTCCTGGTGCCCAAGTGCATTTTTGTTTATTTTTCTGATACTGGGGAATGAACACAGGGGCACTTAACCACTGAGCCACATCCCCAGACCTTTTCTTAAAATATTTTATTTAGAGATAGGGTCTCTCTGAGTTGCTTAGGGCCTTGCTAAGTGGCTGAGGCTGGCTTTGAACTCATGATCCTCCTGCCTCAGGCTCTAATGCCACTGGGATTACATGCACCATGGTGCCTGGCCCCCAAATGCATTTCTTTTTCTTTCTTTCTGTTTTTGGTGGTACTGGGGGATTAAACCCAGGGCCTTGAACACACTACACAAGTAGTCTACCAACTGAGCTATATCCCCA